GATCTACCGCCTCCTGCAGCTTGCGATGACGTGGCTGCGTAAGTGACTCTGCGGTGGAAGTTGCGGTGGCATCCGCAGGCGACGCATTGTAGGCCGCCTGGGGATGCGTGGTCAAGTGTGAACTCGCCACAGCCATCTGTGGCGTAGCTGCCGAGGCTGGCTGCATGGTTTCTCAAGCACTCTCTGTATACTTCGTTTGTGTTTGGATCATGATCTCCCTCCATCCCTCTCTCTCTCTCTCTCTCTCTCTCTCTCCCTCCCTCCCTCTTCTATTTGTTTGATAATTGTAATTACAGTATGTAAAAATAGACACAGGTTTCCAATGTGGTACTGTTTGGTTGGATTATTTACACTAGTGCCATGTTGGTCGTAACTGTTGAAGAATAGAATTTCATGATACGTTAATTTATAGGTGAAAGGGTCACTACTAATATTATTTTCGATTGCGTAATTATGCACGTATAAGTAATTAAGTTGACACAATATTAACGTGATTAGTAATATATTATTTCTTATGATAAATTTATATCCAATTGAAAAATGAAAAAAAAATGACAAAAACAGAAAAAACGAGCATGTAATAAGGTTCCTGACTAATCTTATATGCATGGGGGGATTTTCCGGTGGCATTTGGACACAACAATAAAATCAATATAAGCATTTTATTATGCAGTTGTATGGCATGCAGCTGTTTGATATGTCTAGAATCTTTGTGAAATGATCGGCAAGATACAGAGAAGATTTAGCCATGCTAATATAACGACAAGCTAGTCATTCAAATGTTCAATGCAACCAATTGTCACTTTATATCACGCTCTATCGCCTAATTGATACAGCTAGGGTAACAAATTTACCCTAACTAACATTAAGCTTGAGAATGATTAAGGTTAAGGGTGAAACAATGGCAAAATAATTAGGGTTTAAATATTTTGATTAGAGTACATTGTTTTAGAAACAAACTATTTATTTTTTAAAGAAACAATGATTAAGATCCAAATGAATTCACGAGACAATAACATGACAAATTTGTAAACTTAGTAAAAACATAAGTGTTAATGGAAGACTGTGAATATGAACTTAAAATATGGAATAAATAAAATGTTATACGCATTGCAATATAAAGTGACGAGTATGAATTTCTTGAAATAAAAGTTGCTCTTAGATGTATTGTCTTGGTTCATGAAACAATACATTTGAATAAAAAAATTTGGGGAACATTATTGTTCGATCATCCAATTCAGAGTCAAGGTCGTCCAACTCAGGAAGTTATGGGCGAGGGATGGTTCATGGAACATGGTTGTTTTTTTTTTTTTTTTTTTTTTTTTTTTTTTTTTTTTTTAATTTGGAGTAAGATGATATAGATCATATGGCGGAAGGTGCAAATTGAGCAGTAAGAATAAAACTTTGTAGGTTTAAGCTTTAGTGTCTGATTTGAGCTTATGGTATGCCGTTTTGAAAAGAATGGTAACGTGCATCAAGCTTGCTATTTTGTTGTGATATATGGGGTTTTTTTAAACCAAATTTCATAGTTTACAATATTTTATTGGTGTTTTTAAGTTTTAAAGGACCTTTTCAGTGTCTTATTTGGACTCTTGAAGCTTTTAGAGATATGAGAAACTATAAATAGGATGTTTAGACATTAATTAAAGCGACCAAGCCAGGGAGCAAATACAAATTTACACAAGAAGCTAGCAAAATTCTTCAGATCATGAGTTGAGGGGGACCCGTGAAGCAGAGGTGGTATGGGTTTGATCCAATAATTCACGTTGGGAAAGTGGAACAAAAGGTGGGCCACTTCTCATGTTTTGTACTTATACATCAATAGGTAAGAAAATCCATCTCACTTCCTTGTCTTACGACAACATTGCAATCAGTTGCTACGATTTTGTTTTCTTCTTCAGTTTAATTAATTAATATATCTAATTAGGGTTACGTACAATTTCTGTTAACTACTTAATTAAAAAATCGGATTACATGCATAAAATTCTAACTAGCTCCAACAGTATTGGTTACTACCAATGCAATGATACAATTTCCTCCAACCACACACTGAAAACCTGTTCAGAAAGCCATCTGCTAATTCTCCAGTCCACATGTAGCCAAGCAAATGAAGCCTAAAGCCATTAGCTCATACTGTCACACAATGAATATATGTCAGGAATCACATATGTATGTGTTTTTTCATGCTAACTGCAATTTATATCCACCACATATACAGATGTATATGACCTATTCCACATCAATATTGTTACTATGACATTCACTAGAGGGTCTGAGAAATACCAAATATTCATATGCCATATATCTAATGACCCTTGTGATTGTTAAGGTAATCAAAGTTAATTAGTAAGCAGATGGTGATCAAGATATATATATATATACACACACACACAGTGTGTTTCAATTGAGAAATTTCTCAAATAAACTTAATTATTTGAGGAACATCTTTGTAGTGCTACTTCACATTATATTTTCATGATTCAAACCGTCTAATTTTAGGTTTTCTAAAAAATATCTCTATAAAAATCAATTGGAAACAATATGGCTATTGAATCAAAGGATGTTTATTTCAGTGTATATTTTGAAGCATATTATTTATCTCTATTGTCTCCATTGTAATTGGATATGTTTTAACAGTTTGAATTTTTTTTATTTATTCTTTATGAATAACATACTTAAATATATTCACTTATGTAATAAAATATCTACATGGAATTGTTGAAAAAATAAACGAAAGTAGGCACACACAACACATATACCAAGCATAGAGAATTGGGTTGGACAAGTAAGATATGGTGCTCATAACGGTGTGAGCTGGATAAGAATGGTTGTGGGAGATGTACTTATAATAGGAGGGAAAAGATCTTTATTTTTTTTATTAAAATGGGGATTAGTTGTAAGGTTCACATCACATCAAATTTTAACGATCCAAATCGTCTATTTTTCAAGGGCAACCGAGGGTTGAAAACATGCATGTCGGAAAAAACACCCGCTCCCAAGCAAAAGAAAACAAACCCAACCCAAAAGTTTAAAGAGAAAAACATTTTTCCCAACCCGCTATTTTTCGAAACGTTTTTTCCACCCCGCTTAAAACCATTTTGTCCCCCTTTTAATTTTGAAAACGAAAACATTTTTGTTTTGTTTGAAAACATTTCAAAACATTTCAAAACATTTGAAAAAATTAAAATAAAATAAAATAAAATTTTGAAAACGCACCCATGGTGGCGGCGGCGGCGGAGGGGGACCGCCACCATGGGCGGGAATGTCCCAAACCCGACACATCATATATACCGAGGCAACATGTGATGATGTGCGGGAATGTTATCCCTAGACCGATGGTGCAGCCTGCATGCCATGCTTGGGATTTTTGACATGCAGGGAGCACCACCCCCCTATATAGCATATTATGCTGTTATGGCACTGCCAGGAGGAGACATCAGTTTTCGCGAGGAGTCATATTGGGCCATGAAAAAATCATGGCTTGGAATTTGAACGAGATTTTTTGCAGGGATGTACATATAGATGCAAGGGATTTTCAGAAAAAAATTCAGACTTTTTTGAGCATGGCAAGTATTTCGAGAAATTGGAAAAATCGTAAAAAAAAATCGGTGCGAGATTTTTCAAATCCGTAAGTTTAAGGACCTTCTAAAAATCATATACTAACTATATGGTGCGGATTGTGCGGGGAAATTATCAATAAAAATGGGACTTGACATTGTTTGAAGATTTTCGACGCGTTTCGACATGCCTGCTGTGCAATTTGGCATGTCAGAGTGGGCGCTAGCCTCGCTTGCTGTCGACAGGAAGCGAGGCTAGTGGCGAGGCTAGCAGCGAGTTTTTTGAGTGCCAAGATGCGAGGCTTGGCATGTCATTGGCATGCCATGGTCGGCATTTGACATGCCAATGTCGACATTTTGCGAGGCTTGGCATGTCATTGGCATGCCATGGTCGACATTTTCCGAGTCTTGACATGTCATTGGCATGCCATGGACATGTCATGGTCGACATTTTGCGAGGCTTGGCATGTCATTGGCATGCCATGGTCGACATTTTGCGAGGCTTGGCATGTCATTGGCATGCCATGGTCGACATTTTGCGAGGCTTGGCATGTCATTGGCATGCCATGGTTCGACATGTTTGCGAGGCTTGGCATGTCTTTTCGCACATGGTTGACATTTTTCGAGGCTTGGCATGTCATTGGCATGCCATGGTCGACATTTGACATGCCAATGTCAACATTTTTCAAGTTGCACTTCATAAATGGTTAAGATCGTTGAAGTTCGATGTGAAATGGATCCCACACTTAATCTCTATTTTTTGAAAAAAAAAATGAAGATCCCTTTGCATAAAGGGTTTAAGTTATAATAATATATATCATGATGTGAAGTTAGGTGGGGAAATGGATGGCAGGGGTTTCCTGTTCACGGTTCACTCCCAAGTCCTGTTGAGTCTTGATGTGTATCGTGCGGTATGGCCCGCGCGTGTGGGGAATTATGTTCTTGGCTTTTGGCTTTTGCTGGAAGCATTTCCCTTGTTTCCTTTTACCTGCTTTCATTGTGAAGTCACTGTAGTATATAGATGCATGAGTACTGCTGAGTCCTGACTGTACAAGCTGGCATATACATATGACATGCAAGACCAATGCCTGGAGCTGGCTTAAAGTCTGCAACTCCTGCCATGCATGGCTGCTTAATGACCATTCTTTAAGTCAATAATATTTACCCTAACAACCATTTAGCTGATAAACAGACACAATTTTTTAACTCAATATTTACCCTAACAACCCATTTAGCTGATAAACAGACACAATCTTTAAGCTGATAAACTGGTTTTATAATGTTCCATCACCCATTCCTAGTATATCTCATTTGCTCTCTTTAATTAGTCATGATCAAGTACATTTACTCATTGCATGTGCTGCCTTGCAGCCTTCGATCAAGGCTTCAACAACCACCATATTATTTATATACTAAAACTCGGTTCCTCCGGCACTGTTTTTCACTGTTTGTGTACGAGGGCGATAATGTCCTCGGACTTTCTTAGCTTTTGCCGGGCTTTTTCCTTATGAGTGCAGTGAATTCCCGGTTCTACCCATCCAGTCCACGCGTCCAGCATCCTTTCTTTCTCTCCTTCGACTCATCTGTTTCACTTCACCTTTCGGCTCTCCGTTTTCTGCTTTCCTCATCTGGGTTTTCCTGTCTTCCGTCATTGTGCGCCCTGTTGTCTCTCAGTTTCTTCCTTTTTGTTTCGCGAAATTATCTCCGGCGAGACACGATCTTTGAATTTTGCAATCGTTCGTTGCATCGGTTTTGTTTCAAGCCTCTCTACTGGTACGTATTAAGGTGAGTGATTTCTAAATTTTTGAGCTTTCCTTCGCAGTTTGATGTCATTTTTGGTTGTCTTGCTCTTCGATTTGTTTTCTTGTTTCTGACTATTATTATAATTGAGATCGATTTTCTTGCCATATTTTCACTCAATTTTGGTTGATCTGTGTATTCAAGTGAATGTGAAACAAATCGTATTCAGTTTGGGTATGTTTTGGCTAAGTTTTATGTTAGTTTTTATAGATTGTAACGAACGCTAACGGTTTTTCTTTGTACTCAAGATAACATTGGCCTCGAGGTGAAATCTATGAATTTGACATATTGCTATTTAAATTTAATGAAAAGAATATTACACTTGGTCCTAGCGATGAGGAAATGAACAAGACTGCAGTTTTCCTTTATTAGCTTGCTGTTGAAAGGTTGAGTTCAATGAAGAAGTATGTACCAGTCGTGTCCTTCCCTTCCAAGTCACTTTCAGAAAGTGAGTATGCTTTCTTCTTATTTTATATCTTATATTTTGTATACAATTCCATTTCTATTAATCGGTAACTATGTTTTATGCATGATAGCTTCAATCCTCTTAATTCCCACGTATGGCTTGAATTCTATGGATCCCTATCTGATCACAATGCTGATCTCTTCGGAAATGTATGTACGTGCACCTGCTTTCTTTATGTATTTTTTATATTCAACATCAAACGCTCTTCTATTATTTCTACTAATCTGCAGGTTTATTAGGATATTTGTGCTGGTTATTCAGTCATGGTGTGTCATGGGACGCTTGGGTGCCTATATTGTTAGTCCTGAGTAATTCTGCCTAATTGGTGATCTTAGATACATACGGACAGTCATTCGTGAGTGATTTTGCCAAGTATAAACATTTGAATCGAGCCATAAGGTAAATGTATTGCAATTAGTGACTCGAATTGTTTTGCTTCTGTCATCAAATTATGTATTAGTAGCCATATATAAACATTTGAAATAACATTGCCTAAAAGAGCGGTTTTAATCCGAACTCAATTCTTTTTCGGGGACATATTGTAGGTCGATTCGCATTCTGGGATTTGATATAGTTGGCGTGTTGGGGCTAATCGTGGAGATTCTGTTTACACTATAATTGTTGTTGTAAAGAGTCCATTTATATGCTACTTAAAGGCTGGTATCGACTGATTCAAGATTTGATTACTCGAGAAGGTCCATTTCTTGAAATAGCTTGCATCCCTATTGTTGGTTTGACAATCCTTCTGTGGCGAATTATGGTTGTTTTAAGTATCGTATTGGCAGTTTTCATGGACATTTTAATTGGATTGTGCATCAGTTGTAGTATATTGAGTTTGCTTACACTAAACTATAATCATTGTAATCTCCTTGGCCTTTCATGATGAGTAAAATTATACATTTTTTAACCATTTGGAAATGCAGGAGAGATCTTTCAGGAATCAAAGAAGCTAACTGCTAACTTTGAATTTTCCTGAAATATCTTCTTTTTCTAGATTAATTATTTTAGACGTAGGAATTCTCCATGTTTTATCTGGTAGTTGAACATTTAAATTTGGGACTTCTTTCATTTAATTAGTTGGGAGTTTGAATTTATAAATGTGGATTTGTGTTTGTTTGCCCAGCTACTATTTCAAAGCTGGAGGAGGCATTGTGGATTAGTCATAGGAAATATGATGCTCTGTGGGGCTGGGAAATGCTTAAACTGCTTGTGCATTATGTACTCCAGACCAGAATGAGGCAAAGGTTCCAAAAGGTGTTGCATTGCTTCCAAAAGGCGTTCAATGAGGTAGTTCCACTTACAAATCTCAAAGAAACTATATTGTTTTTTAACTTTCGATGTGTAATAAGGAGGGTAGTGAGACTGACTGCATAATTTGTAATTTGGGTATAGTGACTTATAAAATTGCAGTTTCAAAGATCTTAAATTACTACTTAATTATCCATTTTTGAAATTTCCGTGCAGAGTAATTGATAAATGTAATGCTATTTGAAAGTTGTTATTACCGTGATTGTGATGTGCTTACTGTGTATTTCTTTAGCTTAATAATAAACTACAGGTGGTTGAAAATTAGAATTTTATTCATGCATTTTGTGCAGAGAAGGAACTCAATCCAACAAAACATTTACTACTCTTAAAAGCATTCTGTGAACTCCAAGCTCAAGTCAATCCTTAAATTTCATCTACTTTTTATTTCTTTATGCCTAGGTGATTTAACTGGTTTGTAACCATTAAATCACCCAACTTTATAATTACAATTGTGTTTCTCATTGTTGATATCAATTCAAACACTATTATTCAGGTTATTAGATTTTATGCTATAGGTTAACATATTCATTTTAATAATTACCACTTGCTTTGATGCATTGAAAATGCTAATTCTGTGACAAGAAAATAATCTCTCATTTCATGTTTAATAAAACTCATAATTAGAGAAACTGTTTGAAGAAAATTATACATAATTATTTATGCAATTTGTAACACCGTAGCAATGCGCGGGCATTACTAGCTAGTATATTACTAATTATCAACTATGTTACAATGGTAATCCTAATTTTAAGTACGATGTTTATGTTAGGAGTATTAAGATCCAATGATTGTAGATTAGACAAGTGTCATGAGATTAAGACCTGGTTTGGTGCTGAGGTGATTTTGAAAAAAGTGGCTATCAAAAAAAATTGTGAGCTTTTTTATGTTTGGTAAACATTCAACTTTAGTTTTTTTTCACAGTTTTGGATGAAAAAAAAAACCAAAAACACAAAGCTGCAAAACCCAGCTTTTTTCGCATCTGTTTTACATAAAAGTTTATCAAACACTATAATACTGCTTTTTTTTTCAAAAGCACTTTTACAAAAAAGTTTACCAAACACTTTGCTGCTTTATTGCACAACTGCTTATTCTCACATCACAGCAGAAACAATATTTTTTCAAAACACAGCAATATCAAACCAGTCCTAAGAAGGTAGTTATGTTTATTATAAGAGTAGCTTAGCTTGTAAGCTACTATAGCTGTCATATAAGCTTGTAATGAAGTTGTTGTATGAGTTAAGAGAATATCAATACAATACAGAAGATTTCTACCTCTCTAAGCTTTTTCAACTCTCTTTCTCTCCTTCATTGCTTACTGTGGTTCTTCCTTGTTTTGCAACATCATTTCTTCACTGGTTTTCAGTTTATTAGGGAAGTTGTGGTTTCAACTCCAAAACCAATTGACAGAGGGTTGTGACTGATCAATTTCTTATATGTTTTTGCAAGGTTTTTCAACTTTCTAGTTCTAGGGACAATTTCGGATCATCACTCTTTCATATTTGTGCCGAAAATTCGAGATTAATCAGATGTGGACAGTTTAACTAGGTGACGCGAATATCTGTGTTAGTGTAGGAGAACTAGTTAGGATTCTAAGTCATATTGGGTTAGATTTTTTATATTCCCTGTGGGGCTTAGATTACTTTTACGTTAGGTCGTCAGTATTGTGTACTTTGTGATATCAATACCGTTACACAATTCTAATACGTTGTAAATTCCTAATACTATGAAGAAAGTTGACGCGAATAAACCACCAGATCATAGAGAAGTAGCTCAACTCTTATAAGCTCTTACAATATGTTTTTACCTTTCCAACGTGGCGTAACTTTTCATATCATCACACTTCGAGCTTTGACTTGGGTTCAATGGTACTTAAGGTGAACGATGGGCCTTTTGTTGTTAATCATGACAGGCATTTGTGGGATTGGATTGCTTTGAAAATGGACTTTCATAGATTAGGAACGCCTTATGACTTTTCAAGGCTTCTACTGCAGAGGCCTTGCACTAGTCAACGAAATGTGAGGTCCATAAAGTTGAAGGAGAAGTCACACACTGATCTGTAGCTTTTGTGGTGAACTGGTTCTTTGGTAGAACCTTTTCTTCGTCAGAAGCTGTGGCGATGAGAGAAATAAGTATCAGGCTATCAGAAAACACAATTTGTGAACATTTTTGTTACCATTAAGTGAAGTCAGCAACCTACGTATGTTAAAGAAGAAAAATAAATAATAATAGAAAATCATGAGCATTAAAGATGTGAACCAGAAAAATGTTAAGTGAAGGATTGTGGTCAGCATTAGGGTTGAAGGTTGAAGGGTGAAGACTGGCAATACAAGGCCAAGAAAAGGAATTTTGCGTTTCAGTTTTTAGCTGTTAAACTTATAGTGATATATTCAGAAGCAAAAAACTGAGTACATTGTTGGTTATTTTGTTAAACAAGTGAGTTTTACATACAATGATAGAGCAATGTTGTTGATATTTTGGGTTTCTAAATAGCACTAGATAATAAATTAATTTAATATCGGCTAAATAGCCAAAATGATCCTTGAGATTTGCATAACTCATCACTTTTGTCCCTAACATTTCAAATCAATAAAAGTGGTTCTTGAGATTGTCTACGATCCATCATTTTGGTCATTTCGTTAAAAACTCCATTAAGTGTCCTGGAGCTCTTGGCCGGAAGTTTGGGCAATTTTCAAAGCTTCGTAACTCAATTGTTTCTTAACAAAATTTGACCTATAATATATCAAAAATGAAGATAGGAAAGTTTAGAATCAGATTATACCAAATTGGAAGCCCAATGGCTGCCAGAGATGGTCGGAAAATAGCCTCAAACTTGACTGTTCCGAAACAAAACTGAAAAACTCAGCGGAAACTAGATAAACTTTAAACGTTCATAACTTCTTCAATACTCAACGAAATCAAGTGATTCAAAAACTAAAATCATACTTCTCGATGAGACGAAGAGAATGATACCATGAAAAGTGGAAGACTTTCATTTTCTCGGGAATTTTCAATGCAACCCTAATCCTTTTTCGATGTCTAAATCGCAGTGGTTTGGCAGGAAAAAGGCTCGAAAGTAACTGTCTTGGTCTCGAGTTAGCCACTTTTAAGCCATTTTCCGGCCAAACCACTGCGATTTAGCCATCTAAAAAGATATCATTCTCTTTTTCTCGTCAAGAAGTATGATTTTTGTTTTTGAATCACTGATTTCGTTGAGTATTGAAGAAGTTGTGAATGTTTAAAGTTTATCCAGTTTCCGGTGAGTTTTACAATTTTTCCTCGGACCAGTCAACTTTGAGGCTATTTTCCAGCCATCTCCGGCAGCCATTGGGCTTCCAAATAGGTATAATCTTATTTTACACTTTCCTATCTTCATTTTGATATATTATGGGTCGAATTTGGTTAAGAAACGATTGCGTTACGAAGCTTTGAAAATTGCCCAAACTTCCGGTCAAGAGCTCTGGGACACTTAACGGAGTTTTTAACGGAATAACCAAAACGATGGATGGTGGACAATCTCAATGACCACTTTTATTGATTTGAAATGTTAGGGACCAAAGTAATGAGTTATGGGTCCAAATACGACTTTGGACTTTCAATTGCATAAATGTGGTCAGTTGGCCTTTGTGTTTTGGTTTCGGCCATATCCCATACACCCCAAATTCTACCCTGCGCACGATTGTGTGTGCGCATGATCCAGGTCAATAATGACGCCAAAGAAAAAGTAATCTTTCTAACTTGAAAAGCTTTGAATGGTCTCTGCAGATTTGGAAAGATGCTGTTCTTTTTATTTCTTTGCAGGCACTGCTATGTGGCTCTGATTCTGATGCATGCGCGCGCGAGAGAGAGAGAGAGAGAGAGAGAGATTATATGTATGTGATATAGTTATGAATGGAGTTTGTTTGTGTCTGTGTGTTTGAAGACGTTGAGAAGGACTTCTGAATTTGTCATTAACCCACCCGTCCTTACAACTGAGTCTGTGTGGGAACTGAAAAACATGGTGATGATCAATGCTCATCCCCTTTTCATTCGCATTTATATACACACCAGAACAACCCCGCAGTCACAAAAAGGACTAGTCTTCTCTCTTTTCTCTCTATAATATAATATTGACATCTACATATAATACATATAATATATATATATATATATATATATAACTCTTTTAGGATATCAATTTCGCTCAGTGCGGATTAGGGTTTAAATGCTAGTCTGGTCAGTGGTCATGGACTTGTGATGAAGACTGGAGAGGTCACCTCCATTATGAGATATCTTCACATAGTCCAAACAGAAAATCTAACGCTAGGGTACTCACATCACATGTATATAAATGCTGTCATGTTGAGGGATCCAAGAGAAAACTAGAGGCCAGGATCTCTCCTTCGATTATACATGGTCATTGAATATGAATACATATACAGATCATGATCAGTGAGAAAATTAAAGAAATTTAACCTATCTAGGGTAACTGAGCTAGTACACACCACCTTACCCATGCTTACCACTGAGCTAACTTCGGTGGGTTAGTCACAGAAATCAAGATATATTTGGATTTAAAAGGGATATATATATTCAACAAAATCATGCATCACATATTTGTATGATCGATAGTGATCTTCATTTATCAAATAATTAATGAACAAATAACTCCACACAAATTGCACGATCAGTGCAACACTCGTCTACTCATAAACCTTAATTATATTACCTAATTACAAGCTTGTAATATGATAGAACCTCAAAAGGAAATAGAGAACAAAACCATAAAAAATAAAAACAAAAAATAAAAAAGGTTAAAACATAGAGATGGAGGATGGAAAATAGGAAACTACTTAGGCGCTAGCAGATTTTGCATGATGGGTTCGAGTACTGATATCCTTCTCTAATCGATGATCACCTTCTGACGTTATAGCCGATGACATGTAACTCAAAACCAGAGAATGTTGATTGGTTGTTGCTTCATGCGCACCTTGCATAAACTGTTTCTTGCAGGCATGGCAAGTGATTTGGAGAATGGTAGAGTTCACTTTCTTGACCGCTTGCTCTTTCAAAGCGTGAGCCTTGTCTAACTCGGCCTGTGCTTGTTGCCTTATTCTCTTGGCATTTGCAAACTCCTTCTCCGCCAGTTTGATGTGGCTCTCCGCTTGCTGCCTCGCCTCTTCGGCGTAAGCCTTTTCCGCCATCGCAAGCCTTAACTGCTCTCGCGCTTCTTCTTTCAGCCTCAATATCCCAGCAGCCACGGTGGCAGGTTTAGGTTTCTGACCATCGTCATCATGCTCGTGATGATTAGTAGTAGTACTGCTGCTTTCCCTTTCCCTTTCCTTCACCTCGTTCCTCCTCGGGGAGTAATTTCGATTCGCGATCATAATGTTCGAATGTTGTTCAATAGTTTTGTTCTGATGACTACGATCACCCCCGCCAAATTCACATGAACCAATTGAGAGCTGCAGCTGAGTGGAATGGTTTTCTTCTCTCTTAGACGAAACAGATACTTCATTGATAGGAATATTAATATTCGACGTGGTTGCGAGCTGAAGATCCAAATTGTAATGTGCATTACTACTATTCTTCTTGGACAATGTAGCTTGATGATGATCAGCGTGATCAGGAGGGTTTATTAAGATTAATTTGGTGTACTCAGTTGGACTTGGATGTGGTAGTACCAAATTATTAGATGGAGGCCAAGTGGATGGAGCCCTGCTGAAATTGTTGTCACTGCAGGATGGACTAGGACTTGAAGCCGTTCGTGACAGGCATGCTGCCGGTTGCAGCGTTTGTGATTCCGGCCGCACACGATCCATGTTACAAGCGTCTTGGTGCTCTATGAAACTCTCAACCCTATTTACCAAAATAAATGTAAATATATCAAATAAACTTAGAAGGAAAACTATGCATTTATCAAGTATGCGTATAATAATATTAACACTGACACGCTCTTTAATACAAGTGAATCTTACTATTCTATTTGAGTCCCACATATGTTAATATGTTAATAAGCGTATTAGTTTTGCGTATATAGATATATAACATCTCGATTTGCATAATATTGATTGAATATGGATGTTTAAAACAAGGCATCCAAATTTACAAATATGAAATAATCATGTTAATTAATACTTAGTAATCTCTAATTGTAAACAATCACATCATATAGTTACAAAATTTAGTCTAAATAGTTGGTCTCTAGCCTTGCCTTTGAACATGATAAAGGAGCATTACCAAGAATAAACAATGACAAAGGAGGAACAAGGATTGAAATGGTAGCTAGAGGATCGAGGATAGTTATATATTAATTAGATAGGAATAAAAACATGTTAATTACTACTGAAAAGCTAATCTTTATGATATATTCCATATCGTCCTTAGTCAATATATAGCCATTGTACGTCTTAGGATACCATAAAAATTAACCAAGTTGAAAGATTAAACTATGGGAGCAAAACATCTCCTCTCTAGTCTGTACATATATGTCCTAAATAGGTTTCGAGAAAAACAGTTAAGATATACTTGATTTTCCAAATTGAGTTTCCGTCAGTCAAGACCACTCATCAGGGACCAAAACCTTTTCGCTGTTTTCTTTACTTTATCAAAGTCAAAACCAATTAACAAAAAGAGAGCTTGAAAGGTTCGATATTTATCATGATGCATTTGGAAGCCTTTTGCCATCTGAAATCATGATCTTACATATGTACAACATTTATCATTTTCACAATTCAAAAGAAAAAACGTGATATAGAAATTGGGATATGCACTATCTAATTGTTTGGGTTCAATCATGTAATTATGCGTGTTTAAAGATATAATAAGAAATTTTGACTGCCGTTGGTGTTTGGAGGAATTGAGGGGGTTATCGTTGAAAAAAAAAGACAACCACTTTTTCCTTACCTAGAGAAAACACGGCCGCAGTCGCAAGAATGTCCTCTGGTGCCGCAGGTTTTGAGATGTGCCTTGTAATCTGATTGAACTGCATACCCTTTTGAGCACTTATCACAAACCCACTGTTTGTGGTTGCTGTGCTTTCTCCTGAAATGCTTTTTGATGCCGACGAGATCGCCGAGGGCGTGGCAGGGATCATGGTGCAGGCAGCTTGGTTCCGGGCACACGAACACCCGCTTCTTCACGACCGGAGTCTCTCGCTTCAGCAGCTTCCATGGCACCTTGTGCCGCCGCCGGTGCATCTGTAGGTTCTGGTCTCTCTGAAACCCTTGGTTGCAGATCTCGCAAATGTAACGATCCGATTCCAGTAAGGTTTTCGGCGAAAGTGACACCACCTCCGCATCTGGATCTATATCACACATACACACAAATTAATATAGCACATAAAAATACCACATATATATACATATATGTTGATCACACATCATTTTACATTGTCCAGCTAATACAGCCTAATCCTTTATTGTACTTGAACGAAAAAAATATATCGATCGCATAGCCAAATTAAGTAAAAGATTACACCAAGGAGAGAACTCTAACATTAATATCAATTAATGATATAAATAATAGATGTATGTATACCTGGAGTGCCTGCAGGTCTTCTCTTTCTTTTATTGGTGTTGCCATTTTCTAAGCAAGAAAAAGGATCAGAAGAAGGGACCAAGGAAGAAGAGTTATTGGGTAACATAGGGAATTAGAAGCTCTGATCTCTCCTGCGTGAAAATCTTCTGTAATATAAGCTAACTAAGATGCAAAGTGATCTCTCTCTCTCTCTCTCTAATTGAAGTTTAATATATATGATTAAAAGTAATAGTAATAAGAGGGTGGTGATGTATTGGGGAAGAGGTGGGGAGGGAGAGAGAGAGAGATGAAGCTACAAAGGCTACAAGGGACATGAGAAGGAGGAAGAAAAAAAAAAAAAAAAAAAAAAAAAGCTCTTTCTTTCTTTTCTTTTCTTTCGGTTACCTCATGCTATCTATCAGCTTTCCTTCTTTATTTTATTTTATCTTTTCAACTCTCATCAGCTTTTCGAAACAATCAGCTTTCTCTCCTCTCCCTCTTTCTTTCTTTCTTCCAACCCTCAGCTTCCTTGTGTGGAGTGTCCTCCTTAATAAACTCCTTCATAAGGAGAGAGAGAGAGAGAGAGAGAGAGAGAGAGAGAGAGAGAGATTACAGAGCCTATCACAAAGCTCGAAACTCGATCCCACAAGCAGCAAGGGGCTCCACAGGAAAAATAAAACATCCCCATAAAGAACAAAAAACACTCATATAATTCTTTCACAGCACACAGTAAATATTTCCAAACCGATTTGCATGCTTTAATACATCCCAAAGCCCCAAATATACACGTAAGCTTCCCTGTCCAACCTTTTTTTTTCTTTAATTTCCTATTACCTCTAGGTAAGTGCTTTCTATATAATTAAGTTTGTATTTTGTTTTTATAACCTAACGATTGATAATTTATGTTAAACTCATTTAAATTAGGAAACATGTATTTTAACTTGAGTGTTGAGAGAGTACATTACTCTAATCAAATTGATTAAACTTATATCCGGATTAAGTTTGCATCATAACTTCTATATATACCGTCGGTACAGAGGCATGGGTAAAAATCCTTGGGAGATTTCATTGACCGAAGTACCCCTTTCTTCTTGCTGTCACACACTCAATTTATTAATTTTGAAGCAGCTTTTATAAAGGTATTGCTGAGGATGTGATGTCACCCTCAAGGGCATACTAGTCAATGAAATCATAATTCTGTGCAAGATGCTTACTTTTTGGTAAACTGAGTGCATCAGCAAAATAGTGAGTTGGAAATTGGCAGCATTGGCCTTTTTTGATCAATTTGGCATTTTCCCTGGGTTTTATCCTTGCCGCATACGTATAGCTTTGGATGAAATACGTACAACTTTCATGTACCAATTTAATTATATTTTCTTTTTGTTAACAAAATAAGATCCCCAAAATCCATTTCCATTATCGGCGCAAGAAATTTGTTAATTAAGATGAGTCATATACATGTAATTGTTAAAAATCGTACTCATAATTAAAGGCATACTACACTATGATGTGTCACTATTTAGTGATTTTATATAGCAAAGATTGATATAAGACATGATCTGGTGTGATGAGCTTTTAGTTTTGTTAACCATTAGTAGTAGTTTGTTATGTTGATATAAGTAGCTGAAAGAAGCATTGTTGTACCAATTAATCATCATCGGAATACAAAGAACTTTACTATTCATTTTCTCTCTCAATCATCTACTTTTGTACATATTTTTCAATGTTTTGCAATGTAGATAATACACCCATGTCTATTGTGAAGATTTTGCACATTTTCATATATACACACAAAAATCCTTATATTAGAGATCAAACAAAAATTAAGTTGTCTCTTGAAACATGTGTGAACCACAAAGTTCATTGAAAAATTAGTACGAACATAACATACCTAATTGATGATAAATTTGTTTTTATATCTATGTACCTCAACACTATTAGAACTGCAGAAACCTTGAAGAAAGGATACAGAAAGTAGAAGAAAGTAAAAGAACGAAGAAAGAATTAGAGAAAGAATTAAGCTGAGAAAGAGAGAGAAAGAGAATTGATCGTATTGTATTTTCTGTTGTTTTTCATCGTTTTACAAAAGTTGTTATATCTTGTACAAATCTTTCTCACTAAGCTAAATCCTAATTGCCCACTACCTTATAACAGACTATGTAATCTCTTGACAAGTGTCATTCATTTCTGCCATAGATCTATCTGTCACTTGGATGTTATTCTTCACTTCACTACTCTTACATCCCCCCTCAAGCTCATGCTTGTAGGAACTGAGCATGCGATTGTCACAATGCAACCGAAACAATGGTGCAGACAACCCTTTAGTCAATATGTCAGCAGATTGATCAGATGAGGAAACATGTTGAATCTGAAGATCTCCTCGTGTTACCCGTTCTCTCACAAAATGGTAATCAATTTCAATATGTTTAGACTTAGCATGAAACACTGGATTTGTAGATAGAGCAATAACAGAAACATTGTCACAATGAATCATGGGAGGCAATTGTAATGGAATGTGAAAATCACAAAATAATTGTCTGATCCAGGCAAGTTCAGCTGCAGTGATAGCAAGAGCTCTATATTCAGCTTCTGTGGAGGACCTAGAAATAGTATGTTGCTTCTTCGAAGTCCATGAAATTGGATTGGAACCAAGAAATACAATGAACCAGATGTAGATCTTCTGTTATTTGGATCTCCAACCCAATCAGCATCACTATATGATTGTAGATAGATTGGTCATGATTGAAATCGAATACCATACTCCGAAATGCCTTGGAGATACCTGATGATTCGTTTTACTGCAATAACATGTGATTTCATAGGATTGTGCATAAATTGACAAGCTTGGTTAACTAAAAAAGCAATATCAGGTCGAGTAAACGTGAGATATTACAATGCTCCAACAATACTTCGATACTGGTCAGGACTGTGATAAGGTCTCCAATCATCTTTGAGCAATCTGTGATAGGGAAGACAATGAGTAGCACACGGTTTGCAATCTTGAAGATCAACTTTATTAATTAACTCCTTTGTATATTTCGATAGAGAGACAAATAAGCCATCAGAAGTGTATTGAATCTGGAGGCCTAAGAAGTAGTGTAAAATACCCAAATCCTTCATGTCAAATTCCTTTGTGAGATCAACAATAACATCATAAACCAACTGAGGATCACTGCCTGTTAGGATCACATCATCAACATAGAGCAATAGAACAATCGTGTCCTGTGATGTGTGTTTAACAAATAAAGAAGGATCGGCGAGAGACTGTGAAATCCCAATCCTGGCAGAAAACTTGTGAATCTCTCATTCCAAGCTTGAGGAGCTTGTTTCGGACCATATAGTGATTTTTGAAGCTTGCATACATAATTGGATGGATGATTAGGACTTTGAAAGCCTGGAGGTTGTTCCATATACACCTCTTCGTGGAGTAAACCATGCAAGAATGCATTTTTAACATCCAGTTGTCGAAGAGTCCATTTAAACTGAGCTGCCAATGCTAGAATCAATCTAATGGTTGTTGGTTTGACCACCGGACTGAATGTTTCACCATAATCAATGCCCTCCTCTTGACTGTAACCCTTTGCAACAAGCCGTGCTTTATATCGAGATATCGAACCATCTGCATTCCGTTTGATTCTATACACCCACTTACAACCAACAAGATTTTTATGTCGTGCGAGAGGAATAAGAGACCATGTTTGTTGAGAATAGAGAGCAGTAAGTTCCTCTTGCATTGCAGACTGCCACTCTGGTATTTTTGCAGCTGCTTTGAATGTTTTTTGTTCAAGTTGTGGTGAGTTGATAGCCACTGATGCAGAATAAACCTTTCGTTTGACAATGCCACTTTTGGACCTGGTCTGCATTGGATGCAGATTCATATGTATAGGAAGATCAACAATAAGTTAGTCTTGTTGGAAATCAGGATCATCAGGGATCATCGAGACCTGTGTAAAGTCATGGTGGCTAGATTCTGTAGGTGAGGAAGGTAACTATGTAGCTGAATGATGTAGGAATGGTGATGAAATAGATGCTGAAGCACCACATGATTGTGTTTCCAAGGACTCTGAGGCTATAAATGTAGTCAAGAAATTGGTGGCACTAGATGATATTGGATTCAATGACTCTAAAGCTCGAGATGAAGATGAGTGCAGATGAGATGATTGTAATGTAACCTAATTATGCAATGATACTGATGGTATATATGATACAGATAAAGGAAATGATGACTTAGATGTTGGTTGGATCAACTGAGGTATAGCAACTGATGTAGTGGAATATGGAAATTGTGTTTCATAAAAAAGAACATGCCTAGAGATATAAACCTTGTTTGTGATCCCATCTAAACAGATAAACCCTTTTTAGTTGTCTGCATATCCCAAAAATATACAAGTTGTTGTTTTTGGTTGAAGTTTAGAGCTATTGTAAGGTTTTAACAAAGGATAACAGGCACAACCAAATATTTTTAGATGTGTAAGGGTTGGAGGGTGACCAAATAACAACTTGTAAGGGGATTGCATTTTTAGAGAAAGACTAGGCATTCTGTTTATCAAATAGATGGCTGTTGAGCAAGCAAAAAAACCAGAACTTGGATGGAAGGGTAGCTATGTGCAATAATGTGATTGCAGTTTCTAGAATGTGCATGTGTTTCCTTTTGGCCAATCCATTTTGCTCTAGAGTGTATGGACAAGATTTTTGATGTAAAATGCCTTTGGATGCTAGAAAGTTTTGAAATTGATGACTTGTATATTCACCACCACCATCACTTTGAAAGGTTTTAATATGGGCAGAAAATTGGGTAATTAAGAAGGCATGAAACTTAACAAATATTTGAAACACTTCTACTTTATTTCTCAGTGGAAAAATCCATGTGTATCGAGTACATTCATCAATGAAACTAACATAGTACCTATACCCTTCAATTGACAACACAAAGGTAGGTCCCTAAACATCACTATGAATCACCTCTAATGGGGTTACAGACTTATTTGCAGAAAAAGAAAAAGGCAACTTTGTAAATTTGCCTTGCAAACAAGGAGTACAAATTGTTGGACATGTATCTATGAGTGCAGGAACGTTGGTGTGTTGCAACATTGCAGAAGTGACTGTGTTTGAGGGATGCCCTAATCATTGATGCCATAAGCTTGTAGTAACTGGTTTTGCTAGATAACATGTATGTAATGTGGATGATGCAGGTAGTGTCTTCTGTGGAGATTTAAATGGAATGAGGTAATAGCCAGCTTTACACAGTCCCTTGAGTAGGATTTTCCCTGTGATTTTGTCCTAAACCCAAAAGGAATATCATCACATATGAATCTACATTGATTATCCTTGCAGAGTTGATATATGGACAATAAGTGCTGTGATAATTTAGGAACATGCAACACATTTTGCAATTTAAAGGTATGAGTAGGAGCTTGCAATGTAGATGTGCCAATACTAGAAATTGTCAAACCTGCACCACTCGCAGTGGTTATTGTATCTGTGCCTTGATATTGAGTAGCCAAATCAAGATTTGCAAGCTCTGAAGTCATATGAGATGTGGCACCAGTATCCGCAACCCAAAACTGTTCAGGTGGTGCAGAAGGAGTATACTT